CACGACTCTGGAGCCCACAGCAGGGGTGGAGGCTGCTTTTCCCTAAGCTCAGCCCTGACTCTCTGCCAACCCCTCCCCTCCCACCTGCTCTCCGGGGCTCACTGACACCTGCCATGTGGTCTCTAGGGCCTCCGCCCGCACACCTTCACCAGCAAGGCCACCCGCTGCCTTCGGGGGCACGAGGTCCTAGCACGGACCCCCGGGACAGGGCGGCCAGCTGCCCATTTTCACTGCCAGCCCACGGGATGGGACACGAGCAGAGACGTCCTTCAAGGAGTGGACGTGCTTTCTGAATCCTTCCTCTTCCTCCTGCCGCCTGGAACCTGTATGCGGTGGGGGGAGGTCCTGCAGCCAGCCTGGGCCACGGGCGCGCGACGGAGCAGCGCCCACAGGCCGCGTGAGCCCGAGGACCACAGAGCCGCCCGCTGCAACGACTCACCAGCACGGACTGCTTCTAAGTAAGTCATCCCGCCCGTGTTCTCCAAAACATGCCATCTGGGCGTTCTGTCCGATGCGGCCAAATCTAGTTCCAACTTAACACAGGAAACACTTACCCAGTATGTATTTACTCCTTAGTATTGTTTTCTACGGCCGACCACGAGCTCTGCGAGGACGGGCTTCTGGTCAGCCTTGGTCACTTCTCCATCTTCAGCTCCTAGTACGGGGCCAGGGCCAGAGGAGGCTCGTGGTAGATATTACAGAAATAATAGGGTCAGGGCTCAGGGTAACCCGGGTTAGGGCCCAGAATATAACTAGGATGAAGGCTCATAGTGTGACCAGGGTCAGGGCCCAGAGTGGACCAGGATCAGGGCTCAGAGTGGGACCAGGATCAGGGCTCAGAGTGGGACCAGGGTCAGGATCCAGAGGGTGACCAGGCATAGGGCTCAGCGAGTGACCAGATCAGAGCTCGGTCTGAGACTGGAGATGTCAGCCTGTATCACAGAGAAGCAGTGCTCATAGCTAGTAGGGAGGTGAATGACAACCTAAGGGGCATCTTTTAGTGGACGGGAACCATCCATCCCCTCCATCCAGAGCGAAGATTAACAAGGCTTAAGAGCTGGCATGAAGACGGACCTGAGGTTTTAGTGGAAAGAAGGCTTCCCAGGGAGGGGCCGTCGGAGTGAGGCTGCCATGGGCAGCGAATGGCATCATATGCCCTCACAGGAGGAGGGGGGGGCTGGCATGGCGGCCAGGCCACGTCGCAGGGAGCAGCTGGACGACTGGCTGAAGAGATCAGGCTGTCTTCTGTAGACAAAGTTACTGGCATGCTGCTGGGCCATGGCGAACACAGAAAACCAGCGGAGGGTCCCGCCCAATGTGCCGGTGACACTAGTCTTGGCCATCCTCGATGCTGGGCTTCCCTGGGGCCCAGGAACGAGCACACCGTCCCACCCGCGCCAACACTTGAGGCTCCCACTTCTGGAGAAGACTTTTATCCACAGCGGTCAGGAGAAGGAAGCCGAGGGGAGATGGGCAAAGGGCACACGGCCCAGGACCAGCGAGGACCTGGGGTTCAGGGAGCCCTGCCCTCTCCTGCTGGCCCCTGCGGAGCTGTGTGGCTGCAGCCGTGTGACAGGGCCAGGGGCGGACACCAGCTCCCTGAGGGACCCTAGCACGGGTGCGGCAGGTCGCACATGGAGCAGATCTGAACACCCAGCCAGTGCTCGGGGCTCCCTGCCGGGGCTGAGCACAGCAGCCCGTCTGCGAGAACAGCACTGGGCTCCGTGTCCTGTGTTGGCGAGCATCATCAGCACGGTTACTGCCTTTTTTTTTTTTTTGTTATTTTATGCTTACATAAGAAAAATAACTTCTTTGCAAGAAAATCAGTAGGTACAAAACAGCATCCCACCCCATACAGTACCAAGTCACACATACGTGTCCCTGTGTCTATCACACCACAGATCTAAAACTGGGAGAAATGACAGCAGGCCCGCAAGACGTGGTTCCCTTGGCAGGATCGTGGAAAGCGTCGGAGCGCGGCCCACAGAGCCCGTACAACCAGGAGGAGCAGGAGGAGGCTTGCAGGAGGGCTATCCAGGTCGGGGACGCTGTACCCCCTGCGGCTGTCCTCCAAGGCACACAGCCCAGCCCGTGAGAGCAGGATGGGAGTGGGGGCTGGGCTCGGCCCCGCCCCTCTGCCTCCTCCAGCCATAAGGTCCCTGAGTAGACGTCTGCCCAGGACTCAAGTCCCGGCCCCAGAGCCTTTCCCTGCACGTCACTGAGCCCCACAGACAACGCCCATGAAGGTGTCCTTCGTCCTCGCTGGCTCTGTGGAGGCCCAGCTACACCCAGCTGCCCCGAGCCCACCTCCCAGAAGGGCTGGAGTCCCTGCTGTGTGCCGCCCTCGGGGGTCAGACCTCCTCCTCCACCTTCAGGATCATCCCTGAGAAGACCTCCAGGCCCGGGTGGGGGCGCTGGGGGCTGCCCCGGGAGCCTCTGCTGGGCCCGCCGGCCGCTCCGCCAGCAGGGGTGCCATCCCCAGTGGGGGGCGAGGCTCCCGGCACCGGGCAGGCCTCCACCAGCTTCTCGAGGGTGCGGTTGAGGGCCTCCATGCCGTCGGCCAGCCGCTGGCTCTGCTCTGCCAGCCTCTGCAGCAGCCGGTTCTGCTGGGCCATCAGCGCGCTCTGCTGCTGGGACCAGTGGGACAGCAGGGCCCCCTGCCGCCTCTGCGAGTCCAGCAGCCGCTGCTCAAACTCGAAGGCCTCCCCCGCGGGCCTCCCGGGGGGTGGGGGTGGCGCAGTGGGGGGTGGGGAGGGCCCGAGGGCCCCTGGGAACGCAGCGGCAGGGGGCACGGAGGCTGGGGAGGCTGGAGAGGCCAGCGGGGAGGGCGAGGACGTAGGTGCAGGGATAGTCCCTCGTAGGTCCGAGGGCTCGGGTTCTGGCAGGCTCGGCCCCTCCAGGGTCCGCAGGGGTAGCCACAGGCCGCTGGGGGCATCATCGTCCTTGTCCGCTGGTGGAGGGAGACATGAAACGTCAGCCACCAGCAGCCATGATGGGGCGACACATCGGAGGAGCGGAGAGGTGACAGAAGGGGCCCTCTGCACACAGAGCTACTTGGGTCTCCCAGTGCCCTTCTGTGGCGGGCAGCAGCGCCCACACGAGGAAACTAGGAGGACTCATGGGGTGAGTCTTCCTCCAGTAACACTGAGGTCCCAACCTCAGCCTGGAACTGTGAAGCCCAAGTGCCCTGTTACTTGTCCATACGTCCAGCCAGCTGGCTGCTGTCTGTCCATCTGTTCCACCACAATACCACCCACTCGCCTACCTGCCCGTCGATTTCTTCATCCAACATCCAACCATCTTCTTCCTTTTTCTCCTCCTTCCTTACGCTCATCTGTCCACCCACTCACCCACCCATCACCCATCCACCGTCCGCCCACCCATCGCCCACCCAACCATCCTTCCGTTCACCCACACCTCTGTGCACCCACACAATCATCCATCCTTCCGCCCATCCAGCCCCACCCATCGATCTCCAGGCCCTCCCACGAGTGGGTGTTCCGGGAGGAGGGGAGGGTGCACCAGAGCTTCCCCAGGGCGGCAGGACCAGTCCCGGACAGGAATCCAAGAGCCTCGGCTGCAAAACGGCTCCGCCTCTGACAGCTGCGCAGCTGTGGGAAGCCCTGCTCCTCCCTGGACCGCCAAGCCCCAACGCCTGGATGTAGGGACATCACCTTCTCTCTCGTCAGGTGTGGGGGGGACACTAGCCAACTTCTCGGGGAAAACCTGGACCTGAGGCCTGGGCCTGTGCTGTGTAGTGTGCTGCCCGCCAGGCCGGCGTTTAGCAGAAGGACGTTCCCGTGCGGCCGCCGTGTGTCCGTGCCTCCCATCGGGGCCTGCCTCGCCTCACCTGTGGCACAGGCGTTACCGCTCCGCAGCGGAAATGGGGTAGGGATCGGGTCACCAGAGGGCAGGGTCCAGTGGGCTCCCCGGGAACGGGACGAGGGTGGGGCTCTGGGCCTGATGAGGAGCCCCCCGGTGCCACCTCTGCATCCTCCTGCCACTCCTCCTCCTCACGGCCCGGTCTTCGCGTGTCCTGGCACCCGCCGATCCCGCTGACGGCCGGCCCCCGCGCTTCCCAGAGGCCGCCACCGGCCGGCTCAGTGCTTCCTTCTCAAACTGCCGCGGTAGGGAGGGCGCCCGCAGGCCCTGCCGTTGGAACAGCTCCCGTCCGAGGGACGCCGGGCCCTGAGCTTCAGGCAAGTCTGCCCTGCGTGTCATTTGCGACCTGCACCTTCCACTCCGGGAGGGCCCGGAAAGACCAGGCCTGGCGGAGAGGCCCCAGCTGGAGGGTCCGGCTGCTCTCCGTGTGCTGCTTTCTGGGGGGGCCGTGGGCCAGGTAGTGAGCCCCGAGCTGGCGCCAGCCTGCCTCCGCTCCCATCCTGCGGACAAGACCTTGGCCCAGCCTGGTTCTTCGCCCGCTCTCACGGGCTGCTGACTGTCCGTCAGCCCGACTTCTCATTCCAGGGCCGCCGATGCAGGAGACGGGACGCCAACACCAGCTGTGACTTCCCGGAGACCCCAGGGAACGAGGGTGTCATCCACCTCGGTCTCCGCAGGTGCTGCGCCCTGCTCCCACCCACCGCGGCCCCCGCACGGGGCTCCCACTCCAGCCCCCGGGGCCTGAGCCGGCCTGGGTGGCTCCCCCTTCCGCCTCTGAGCGCACCGCCCCCTCCACCAGGACAACCACTACTTGGCCTTCAAGGTGGAGCACGCGCCCTCCCGGGAAAGTCTGCCTGCCCCAGCGGCCCAGAGCCCTCCTCTCACTGGACTGGACCGTCCACTCCACCCTCCCCCGGGGATGCCCCTCACAGAGAGACAGGCTCTACAGTGTCCGTCCCTGAGTGTCAGAGCCCAGCGCGGAGCAAAGGGCCAGTGAGTGAGTGAGGAGGGAGTGGGGGACGGCTGCCGGCCCTCCTCCCATCTGCATCAAGGCCGAAGCCCGCCAGGCCCCATCGGGCGCTCACACAGTAGCGGCGGGTCGCACAGAGGCCCGGCCGTCAGTCCCCGGGCTGCTCGAGGCCCCATCGCGAGCAGATGAGGGCCTGATGTTTGCTCTCACGCCTCTGAGCAGCGGACTTGCCCCAAGCCAGGCTCTGGGGCTCTAAGAAGGGGCGGCCCCCCGGCTCCAGACCAGAGCGGCCAGAGGCAGCCCCGAGCCGCACGGGGGCCTGGGTAGCTGGTCAGGCGGGAGGGCCAGAGGAAGGGGACAGACCCCACCGACCCAGCTTGCCCATCTGGGCACAAGAGACACCACAGAGCTTTCCGGAGAGGCAGCCTAGCGATCACGCTCCTGGGTGCCCACAGCAGTGAGATCCCCCACACGGGCCCCGTTCACACTCACGACCAGTTCCCTGCCCTCCACCTTCCACTAAGCCGGCTGGGCCAAGGCTGGGCCGCCGGCCTCAACAGGGGTGCAGATGCCACAGCCCTACCTTTCCCCTCCGCCGCACCAGTCCCCCTTGGCTCTGAGAAGATCCTGTGGGCGCGCCCTCCCAAGTACAGGGCAGGGCCTGGGCCTCCCAGGGAGACGGGACGGAGGGGGCCACAGGCCAGCCGGGCCCGTCCCTTCATACTGACTGACTTGATGCCGGCCGGCTCCAGCCAGGAGCTCGCCGGCCGCCTCTGTGTGCGAGGACGCAGCCTCAAGGCTGGCTTCAATACTACCTGCAAATCAAGACAACAGAAGGAATTACAGATTGTGACCCTGAGGACACCCCAAGGGTCAGCCCTGGGGAGCCCAGGCCCAGAGATGGGGTGGGGTGGAGGGCTGCTGCCTCACCCCGGGCTCACGGAGGCCCCATGCTGGCATTACTGGAGGCCAGGCAAGGAGGCCAGCCTCCAGAAAGGCAGAGGCCATAGGGATGGAGCGCCGGGCCACTTGGCTGGCATAGGCACTGGCCGCCAGAGCCATCAGGAGGTGCCCCTAGGGGCAGGGGCAGCTCACTCGGGAGAGGATGGAGGCCAGCCCGGATAGAGGCCTGGCCCCGTGACTCCTCTGTGCCCTGGGCCAGTCCTCCTGCTCCTGACCACGGCCCCTGCCTCCAAGAAAGGAGCAGGGGACCTGTCTCTGTGGGTCCCGCGGAGCCACGGGGAGGACCCCCTGCCTGGGCTAGGAGCGAAGGCGCAGGGGGCCGGAAGCACTGCGCTGGCCCAAGGTCTCCGGACCGTGGCCGATCGGCTCGGTTGTCAGTGTGGGGCCTCAGGCACGCACCGGGTAGGGGTGTCAACGTGGCGCTGAGCTGTCCCACCGGTGGCACAGTCAAGCCACCCCCATGCGCCCCAGAGCAGCCCCAGAAAATGGAGCACTCCACGCCGCGATCCCGGCGGTGAAAACGCGCCAAATTCATAACTGGACCCGCTCGGAGCTCAAGGCCGGGCTGCGGAGACACGCAGAGCGATGGTGAGTGAAGATGGCGACATCCTCCACATCAGGAGCTGGGTGTGAATCCCGATGTCGGACGGGTCTACACCGTGCCCTCCTCTACCCCCGGGGATCCCGGTAACACGAGACGGAGCGAGAAGGTGGCCGCAGCACAGGCACTCTCCTCGCAGACCAGTGGCCGCGACACCGGCTGCCGTGAACACGCAGCTCCTCCTCCAAGGAGAAGGAGACGGACTCCAAGCTCAAAGGAAGCGGGGGACAGAAACAGCCTGAGTGCTCTCTTCCATCTCCCCTGCACGGCGACAGGCCCAGCCCGGAGCAGAGCGCGGTGGCAGGGGACGCCCAGGCGAATGCAGGCACTGGCAGCGCCCAGCCTCTGCCCGGCGATGGCTCTGAGGGGCTGCTGTCTCCTCCGGGGTTCCCTCCCCCAGCCCCTCCAGGCTGAGCCCCACTGGGAGGAGAGGAAGGAGGGCTTTACCTATTCTCGTGCTGGGGCACCCCTGCTTCTCTCCCACCTGCAGCACTGACTGCCCAGTGGCCATCCAGGTCCCTGGTCCTGCCTTGGCCCCAGTGACGTGCCAAGGAGCCACCTCGCACCCTGAGGCCTTGGGCAGCGGCAGCCCCGCCTTTCTCCTGCGGAGGTTAGAGACGGACACCCAAGACAGGAATGACTACCTCCACGCGCAGACAGACGGCAGCATCAGGGACAGAGCCTGGGCTGCCCTGCACCTTGCTCTCAGGCTCCAAGAAAGCCCAAGTCTGGTCGGCCTCCAGCACAGGCCCTGGGGACGCTGGGAACCAGCTTTGATGGCAAGCGACGGCCTGGAGACACGAGCGAGCCCACAGCCAAGCCCACCTCGGGCCAAGAACGTACGTGCCCAGCCCACAGAGTGCTCCCCAGATCGGACCCAGCTCTGCCCTGGGCTGCCATACTAAGCAGACCCGCCCCCCACGGCCGGCTCCCTCCCCAAGGGGCTACTGGGCAGCCCCCCACCACCTGGCCTGCTCGCTCTGATGCTTCATCTGCCCTGAACCACTTCTGCTCCCTCCTGAAGACCCCGGGTTGGTCGGGGCAGATCTACAGGCACCCCCCGCTCACCCCCACCCCCGCGCAGGGGCTCTGCTCCGGAGACTACAGGGCGCCCAGACTCTGGGCCAGGCCTGCAGGGGAGAGAACCTCCTGCCAGCACCACTCCCCAAACATTCAAAGATAGCAGGGGTGCACCTCAAGGCACAGAGAGCTGCCTGCTCAGCCCCCCGCAGAGGCCCCTAACTCTGCAACGGGCTATCCACAGCCCGTGGCCGCGAGGAGCCCCTGCAGGCCTCCCCCTGCCCAGGCACCGGCCACCGCTGACCCAGACAGAAGAACTGGTGTGACACGCCGCAGTCGTCTCTGCCATCGCCTCCCACCCCAAATCAGGGTCTGCAGCCACCTCCCCGACCCATACTCAGCCCTGCCAGGGAGGTCCGGCCCCAGGCCACTCCCTCGCCCTCAGTCACTCGGCAACAGTCAGCCCAGGACGCACACCCCCAGGAGGGGCTCCCATCACTAAGGGACCAGTCAGCTGCCACTGTGACGGAGGTGAGCCCGGGGCCTGCAGGGTCTAGGGAAGGGGGCTCCCAGCCCAGCCGCGCAGGCAGGGACGTCTGTGCTGGACTGGACCCCACCATGAGCCAGTGTGCTGAGCCAGCACCAGTGACCTTCAGGAGCAACACGGTCACCAAGTTCCTGCCGGGCTGCAGGGCTGGGGACTCGTGGGGTGGGCCCAGGCACCCCAGTGTGCACCCCAAAACCGGGTCTGGCTCTGTCTCTAGCGGAATGTGGCGGCCTCCCCTGGCCTGAGAGGCTGGCCCCATCCCGTGCCGTCCCCCAGGCCCATGAGCAAGGCCAGTGCCGGGGAATGGCGTGTCTGCACATGTCTTCCGCCGGCCTGTACAAGCCGCGCCGTGGCCACCCGCCACCCAGCCTGTATGCAGGCTGAGTCCTGTGCTGCACTGTGTGGCCTTCAGGAGAGCTGGTCCTGCTCCAGGCTTTGTCCCTAAGGTGCGTCCAACAGCTCCTCAGGAAGCAGAGTCCGTGTCGACCGAGAGCAGGGGTGCAGCCGCCGCGAGCAGCCTGACTGGGACATTCCGAGGCGTCTCGAGGAGGAGAAAAGGCAGGAGGCATGGAAGACGGTGGTGAGCAGAAGTCCAAGCCAGCACCCCTGGGGGCCGGAGGGGGCTGTGCGTGGCAGGGAAGACCCCATCACGCCCCCTAGGCCTTCCTTACCAGGTGCAGAAACTTCCAGCAAAGGGGGGGCCCTACAGGCGGGCACATGGGCTCAGAGTCGGGGGGTCAGTGTACCCTGGGAAGCGGGGAGCCACTGGAGACTGCCCTGGTCTGGGGGCTGAGTGACCCCAGGGAGAAGAGCCCCCATGATGAGCGCATGGGAAGGGGCGGCCCCTCCCCCACACTGGGAGAGTGGCACCAGGTCGGGATAGGGAGGGAAACGTGGCCCCTTGTCCTCCGCTCCCTGAGCCTCTGGAGGCCCTCGGCTGTGCTAGGTCATGGTGGGGGGACCCCCAGCAGGGCTCCGGGCTTGGGGCCAGGAGGAGCCTGGCTCTGATCCCCAGCTCCTCGGCCGCCCAGGTGGACGGGCTCCGCCCTGACCCCAGGCTCAGTTCCCCAGCTGGAAGCAGAGAGCTACCACTGGGCAGTGGGCAGACCTACAGGCCCCCAGCCCTCCCCTGAGGGTCCCACTCCCTGGGGCCCTTCCCCGGACCCCCAGCACGGGGGCAGGCCCAGGGGGTTCACTTACTTGGCAGGGGCTCGGCGGCCTGGCCCTCGCCTGCGGGGGCTGGGGCTGAGAAGGTCTCGGCCACCATGCGCTCGACAGGGGTGAGCAGGAGGCCGGGGGCCGGCGGGCGCTCGGCCAGCTTCTTACGCACGGCCCCGCGCAGGTCCCGCCACTTGTGCTTCAGGTCGCCCAGGTCGCGCCGGCAGTGGCCCAGAGCGTTCACCGCCTGCAGGATCTTGTTCCACGTTCGGTGCTTCCGGGAGGGCGGGCCCCGCAGCGCCCCGAACAGCAGCGGGTAGTGGCGCGTCACCCTCCGTACCAGCACCTCCGTCTCCTGGGGGCTGAAGTTGGGCTTGCGCGTCTTGGTGCGGGAGTGGGGGCCCTGCCGCGGGGATGCACAGCCCAGCCCGGGCAGTGGGGCCGCCACGGCGGGCTCAGGGCTGGAGCTCTGCCGGCACGTGGCCTTGCTGCTGCCGGACCCTGGAAAGGCACCGGAGGCTGAAGGGGCAGGCAGAGGCCAGTGGCCAGCCAGGGGGCCGGGGGGCAGGCCCCAGCCGAGTGACACCAAGCTCATGGCCTCCACTGTCCCTGCAGAGAGGCACACGGGCCCCTGCCCATCATCCAGCACAGTAAGACCACCCACAGCAGCACACGGTGGGGTCCTCAGGTCTCAGCAGCTCTTGGCCCCTGGTGCTCCACTCCAGGTGCCCCAAGGTCCCCAGGCCCTGACCGCGGTGGCTGCAACTCAGCCCTTGCCTGCCCCTCCTCCCCTCTGCACCTGCCCCTCCCAACTAGTCTGTCCCTGGGATTGAATGACCACCTGGGTGACATCTGGAGTAGACAGAACACTCAGCACACCCCGTCCAGAGGCAGTCGGACGAGGTAGTAACAGCGGCCACAGCCACACTGAGGCCGACAGGGGTGCGAGGCAAGAGGACATGCAGCCCAGGCAGGCAGGGGCCTGGGGAGAGCAGCGCAAGGCCTGCCAGGGCACCCACTGCACACCCCGGAGCACGGCCCTGCACACAGCACAGGCTCAGAGAAAGAGTGAAAGGCAAGCATGCTGGGCAGCAGGCCCCGCACTCCCCAGTCCCTTCCTCTTCTGCGGGTGCGGCAGGGGGATGGCTGGGCTGCCCTGCGGGGAGCAGGACACACACAGACCTCAGAACCTGGGAAGGGAGCGGGTGACAGAGGCTGGCTGGGAGCTGGCAGTGCTGGCCAGTGGCTCTAGTGCCAGGAGTTGGCCCTATGCTTCTGGGCCAGGGACCCACAGTTCCTATTACCTGCCCCCCATTCCCCCGGCCTCCCAGGCACTCAGGGCTGTAGCCGAAGAACCACGTGGCCACCTGGAGTGGAGAGGACAGGCAATGTGGGGCCGACATCCTCACATGGAGGGAACACAGAGACCAGGGCCAGGTACCCCCCGGTGCCCCCACCACACCCATTTCCTGAGACATGTAACCCCCAGGGCGGCTCTGGGCTCTGCATGTCCAACGCTCTCTGCTGGGTCACAAGCTGCAGCCTTGACCCCTCCCCCACCCAGCACAGTCTGTCCTCACCCTGGAGAGTCCTCGGGTGGGAGGAAGGCCAGGGTGGGAGGCATGGAGGCCCAGACTCCACAATGAGCAGAAAAGGTGGGCCAGCCTCTTGCAAGAGCCTTCCCAAACCCAGCCTTCCTGAGGGGCTGGGGACACCTGGGGACACAGAGAGGGAGGGCAGCAGAGGCTCAGACCTCTAGAACCGCCCTGGCTCTCGTTTGTCTGGGAGGCAGCCCTGCCTACACCTGGGGGGGGAAGGGCACATGGCCATGGGGGGCAGGTGCTCAGAGGGTAGCACGGGTACCCACCGATGGCATCTCCTTGCTCTGACACCATGGAGGCCAAGTCCTTGATGATCTGATTGACATCCAACAAGTCACTCTGTGGAAACAAGAGGATGGCCATTAGGTGCAGTGATCAAGGGCACAGTCATCAGGGAGTGCTGGGTGAAAGCCAAGAACCAGGAGCAAGCCTGGGCCACCCACCCCCGAGCCAAGGCGGAGATAGGTCTGGGATCTGAATATTCTTTCCTGGTCTTAAGGCCAAACCCCGAGGTCCCTGGGTATCCCTGGACTGTAAGGCACCTCACTGGGTAGAGATGACCAGGGCCGGCCCCTGGGGCTACAGTCAAGTGCAGAGCAGTGTTGCCAGCGCCATCTGCAGCTCCTACAGACCTGTCAGCCCTGTGGACACCTCGCTCCCCGTACTTGCTCTCGGGCTCCTCGAGTAAAGGAGGGTATCTCTCCCTCTCCACACACACACAGCTCCCGGCACAAGCCAGCACACAAGTGCTGCTTGATATATCCTGGAGGAGTTGGGTGGACGGTGGGTTGACAGGGGGATGGATGGAGAATGGATGGGTGGAGAGATGATGGATGGAAACATGGATGGACGAGTGGGTGGATGGCGGATGGATGGATAGTGGATGGGTGGATAGATGGATGGTGGATGGAGAGTGGATGGGTGGATAAATGATGGATGGACGGATAGATGGATGGATATGTGGATGGATGGTAGGTGGATGGGTGGATGGATGGATGGATGGGTGGGTGGATGGG